CCTGGAAGTGGTGAGGACAAAGCATAGGAGAACAGTTCTTGCTTGGGATGGGTAAGTGAAGCCTGATCCTCAGGGTCACCTTCTCTGTGTTTCAGTGGGCTTCCCCTGCTACCCCAAGGAGCTGATACCTACCATGCTCTGTGCAGGAATGCAGCACAACTGCTGAGGTCAGGGCTGCTCCTCTTGCTATGCTGGAGATGTCCTCCTGGCTAATAATCTGCAGGGAAGCAGTGGGGGTCAAGCTTGTGTGGGGCCAGGAGACTGCTAGCCTGGGTGCTGGATGGCTGCTGTGCCAAAAAGGGCATCACTGCCTCTGTGCTGCTCAGTTCCCCAGACTAGAAGGGCGTGACAACACTTCTCCAGGAGCAGAGGGGACTGCAGGGCATTGTTAGCTCCTGGCATGGAAGCGGCCTAAGGTGCAGAACGTAGATCTGGGTGCCAGTTTGAGGGCACAAAACCCAGGCCTAACAGGAAGGTGCTCCTGATGCGAGTAACACCAGTAGCTGCTTCACCTTGGTAGACCCAACCTCTCAACCCAACTACAGCCGCCTACTTCTCATCTCTCTCTTCCTCTTCTTTCCCTGTCTTCCTGTTACATCAGCCAGCTCCCCCTCCCATTACTGATTTGGATCAAGTTTGGTTTCATTATCCTAAGCAGAGTGAGAACGTATAAGGTTTTCCAGGCCCCAGTCACGAAGGGAATCCTTCCCCTCCCAGTGGACTTTGCTGTGGTCCCCATTCAGAAAAAAATCATTGTATTATGGTGTACATGGTTGGGGGTCTGTCTGAAAAGTCAGCTGGCTGACAGCCAGGAAGCTTGGCTTGGTTCACAACTGGAACATCTGTCAGTTGAAAGCTATTGCATATTTTGTTTTTCATCCCTAAATGCCTCATAGACAGCTGGGAGTAAGGTAGATTTTACTGATTCACAGAGGCATGAGACAGCACAGGCAGGGCCTCCTGGTGGTCTTCACTGTGTGTGTCTTATTCAAACAAGATTCCAGGCACTTACGACTGGTGTATGTGACCTCTGACTGTACCCAGGGTGCCAATCAGCCAAATGAGAGAAAGCAGAGAGGAAAGGGGAAAAGAGTGATGCCACCACCAGTTAAAGTACTGAGAGACCAGTTTATTCAACAGTGGGCCATGGGCAGGTGGACACTGAGAGAGGTACTAGTGCTAGACCCCCCAGTAGGAGGGCTATTGTTCATGGCCATGGTCCCAACCCTTTCTATCCTGCAGCTGGTCCAGGGATGTAGGAGAGAGGGGAGGGATACTTGTTGAGCCTTCAGAAAAAAGTGTTGGAACAGCTTCTGAGCACAAGCTTTTGGACAAGCCTGTGGCTTGTCTGTGGGATTCAGAGGTAGAAGTCCTTCAGGCAGTGGTATGATGCTCCTCGGCATGTGTGTACAGACATACACACACATGCTGACAGTGGCTATACATGAGCAGCTTGAACTCCAGGGACTGGTACCTCATAGCATATAATGAGCCAAGCTCAGCAGAAGCCGATGCCCGCGGAACAGTGCTTACCTAAGGGACCACGGTCTTGGCTTATCTGTTTGGATGAGGGCGGGTCTGGGGGGGGGGGGGG